TAACTGCTTTATTGGCCTAAGCTACTTAGATTTTTGAATGTTTGATAAAGGAATAAGACTTTAGGAGCAGGACTTGCTTAGGAACCTAATTCCAGCCACTGCCTGGAATCGTCCAAGAAAATCTAATTCTAGATGAGTTTATTTTTCCATTGGCCTCTTCTCACTTATTTGACAGTTTCAGTGTGAGTATTCACATAATCTTGATATCATCCACTCTACATATATAATTAACACTTTTCCTCCTGCTTTTTAAGTTGTGAACTTTGGTTTGCTTTTCTTTATAATGTGTTACCTAAAAACAAACTTGATGTCATATGAGTGAGTTTTATAGCTTAATATTACCTTCGTTCAATAAAAGAACTTCATAATAAATATTAAGGGTACTTTTATTGTTAAAAGAATCCTTTAAAGTTTTACTATTATAAGTGAAAGCAGTGATTGTTTAGCATAGTTTTGTAGTAGAAATTAAGAAGAAAAAAAAACCCTCTCAATTCTTGAAAGAAAAAACCCAGATGATCTTTCAAGGTGATCTGCAATCAGAACTTTTTTTTGGGGGGGGGTACTAGGGGTTGAAGCCAGGGTTGCCTTACCATTGAGACATTGAGTTACATTTCCATCTCCAGCCCTTTTTTTTTTTTTTTTTGAGACAGGATCTGAGTTATTGAAGGTTTTGCTAAATTGCTGAGGCTGACTTCAAATTTAAGATAATCCTGCCTCAGCCTCCCTAGTCACTGGGATTATACGTATGTGCCACTGTGCTTGGCAATAATCAGAACATTTAATTAAAGGAAATTAAAAACCATCATTTAAACCTTTTAGACTTTGCCAGCTCAGATTAGTCATTGTGTGGGGCCCAGTTTCCTGTTCCCTAATTTAGCTACCTGCTGGTGTATGCAATGATGTTGGGGTTAGAGGATATGATTTTTTTTTAATCTAATGACTTTGTTTGTACTTTGTTCTTAAATAACTGCAAAATTATATGAAGAATATAGATGGGAAACCTACAGAGTTTTAGAAAAATATTAGGATCTGTTAGAATGTCAAGTAGTCATATGAGTTAGCCCAACCTAAAAGTTCAGTTATCCCAATTTACCTGCCTGGGTTTTTAAATTATTCAAATTAATACTGTCACATAGAGTCAGCTAAAGGTTATAKGAGTATAGAAATGTGAAGGCCCTGAGGGAACTGTGAGCATTGTCATACAGTATTTCTGGGAGGTCAGTTTCATGCTGATAGAAGGCTGCAGTGGGTTGATCCTCTGCCTTCAGCCTCTAGTGATGCATGTAAGTCTTTGCCCTAGGATGAATCTCGAATAACTTCTCAGATATCATTGGACAAAGGAAATGGTTCTTCCTTGACTGAAGTTCCTCAGTACACTATAGAAGAGGACAAGTTAAACAACTTTTACTCTGTCTGAGTACCAGTAGGAGGCGTGGAATGTTCTGGAGTCTTTCAGAAAAACATGGAAGACTTCTTTTTTTTGTTTTGTTTTGGTACCTGGGATTGAACCCAGGTGCACTCAACCACTGAGCCACATCTCCAGCCCTTTTTAAAAATATATTTTTAGAGACAGGGTCTCACTGAATTGCTGAGGCTGACCTTGAACTCATGATCCTCCTGCCCAGCCTTCCGAGCTGCGCCTTCCGAGCTGCTGAGATTACAAGCATGCCATGCCTGGCAAGATGCCTTAATTCATTTCACAGAGCACTATGTGTAGGAATTTTTTTCTTTTATGGTGCTGGGGATTGAACCTAGGGCCTTGGGCATGCTAAGCACATACTTTACCACTGAGCTATATTCCCAGTCCAAAGGTGCCTTAATAAGAGTTTTACGATCTGCACTTAAGCATCTTTACGATCTAGAGAGATTCTTCTCCTTAAACTTAAAAAATAACTTTTTTGAAGGACACTTTCAGTACCTTAGGAGAAAATAAAGAGATATAATCTGTTCTTCCAGGAAATAAGGTCGTTGAGCAAATGTGTGCCAAATCTTGTAAACCCTGATAAATTGAGTTGTTTGTCCTAGAACAATGACCTGATCTCTTCTTACCTGAGTGTGGAGATGATAAAAATCTATGATGACTGTTCAGTGTTCTAACCTTGATGCCTATTCTCTGCTGTCCTCTACTGGTTTCATTTAGTGTTTAAATATTTCTAGCAACCTGTAATTCATGCCTTCTTTTTCTTAAGAATTAAGCTGGTGCAATGAGCAAATCTGGAAACTTCATTTACCCAAATTCTCCTCCGAGAAGTTCTGTGTTGTCTGCAGCTTCATTCATAGGAGCCAAATTCAAATTAAGGTTTTCACATCAGTTTGGAATGTAAAAATCTGTTATTCCTGCAGTCTCCTTTTTTGAATTTCCTCTTAATCTGAAGTGCTATGATGGTGCTTTGGGGGTTGCAGAGTAGGGAAGTATCAGGATGGGAGAACTCATTCTGAAGAAAGGAAGGAGTGGAACAACGCTGGTTACTGCACATTACTTTGGGATTTGATTAGTTTTTTGTTTTTAATATGTGTATATTCAAGGTTCTCAAGTAGTTTTTTTTTTTTTTTTTTTTGCTTTTTCTTTTAGTTGATTAGTCTAAAAGAAAAAGTGTCCCACAAACAAGAGCCTTTATGAATCTTCAGAGCTAACTTCCCTGGCAGGTTGTTTAGCTAATACTGACTTCAAATTCTTGACCTTCCAACTGCCTGTTCATCTCTCTAAGGTGGGGAATGCAATCTGAAGAGGGCTGTGTACCACTTGAGAGACTCTCAGCTCTCCGATTTGCACTGGTGGAARGAATCTAAATACTCTGGTTATTCTTTCTTGTCTTCCATGTATTCCAACTGAGCCCTTCATATTTGCCATCTTTTCTACCCTAAATGTCTTTATTCCTCCTCTTCCCTTGATTGAGATTCTTCCTTTAGGATTTAGTTCATGTTAATTGCTCCAGAATACACTCTGACCTTTTGTAATCCTATAGCACTGTGCTATCTCTAGTAGTGCACTCTACATTGCAATGAAGCTGTTTTATTTCTTTTTCTGCTTCATTTTGGTATAATTTATAAGTAGAAATTATATATATTCAAGATGTACAGTGTGATATTTTGATATACATTGTGAGGTGATTGCCACGATCAAGTTCATTAACATATTCCATCACCTTGTACAAATAACCAACGTATATATGAAAAGGTGTCCATCATCACTAATCAGGCAAATGCAAATCAAAACTAAAATGAAGGTGTATTGTTTTTTATACCTTATCTTTATTTAGATTCTTAAGCACTTTGAAGGTAGAATCTTACTCATCCCAAATCCTGTGACCAACACAGATCTAAGTATCTTCGGTGCTTGAAAAATTAATGATGTTTGATGGCAGAAAATATTGCACGAATATTAACTGCTGTTATTATTATAACAAACCCTTTTTCATTAACACATCTTTCAAGTTGAGTAATGATAATCTTCTTTAGTTATTAAGAATTTTTTCCAAAGTGAAATAGCTTTATTATTATTTTTGACTATATACCTTTGTGGAAAATTAAAAGAAAATATTAAAGTATGAAGGGAAATCTTATGAYTCAGAATTAACTACTGTTAAAAAGTGCTTTTAACAGGGCATAGTGGTGCATGCCTGTCATCATAGCAGCTCGGGAGGTTGAGGCAAGAGAATCTCAGCCTCAGCAATTTAGGAAGTCCCTGAGCAACTTAGTGAGATCTGTCTCAAAATGAAAAATAAAAAAGGGCTGGGTGCCCCTGGGTTTAATATGCACTACCAAAAAAAAAAAAAAAAAAAAAAAGGGTGCTTTTAAATATATAAGCTTAAATGTATGCTACTCCATTTTTCCTGTTTATAGTTTTGCCTATAAAAGAATTTTGCCTATAAAAGAATTATAAAGAATGTTTTGTCCCTTTGGAAGAAGTCTATTTTAACAAACAGCATTAGAACATCTAGTTTAGTTTAATGAAGCCACTATTTTTATGTTTCACATTGCAAAGTAGCTTCCTGACTTAGATGATGAAATATGCCTTTTGCTAAAACAGCCATGTGCTCTTAGCCTGGAATCCAATTTTTTTAAGTTACCACATCATACCTTGCTTTGTATGTGGCCATTCACTTAATAATATATGCCCCTTCATCTGTGCTTATAAGTCTTTTTCTTTTTCTCCTTTAAGTGGTACTGAGAATTGAATATAGGGTCACTTTACATGGCTGAGCTGTATCCCCAGCCATTTTTATTTTTATTTTGAGACAGGGTCTTGCTAAGTTGCTTAGGGCCTTGTAAATTGCTGAAGCTGGCCTTGAACTTTTGATCCTGTTGCCACAGCTTCTCAGTGCCACTGGGATTACACACACCTGTAGGCCATTCTTCAGTAACGGAGCAGTTTAAAGCAACCTACAAGAAAGGAATAATCATTTTAGAAAGTCAAAGATGTCTCTCAAGAGAAACTTTTTGTTTATACCCCATGTCTTGCTCCCACTGTGTAGCCATTGACACAAAGTTTGCAGGAGTAGATGTTCTTCCCAGATGTTCTTCTCCATGCACACCTTCTTTTCCATTCCACTTTCATACTTCTGCCCTGTCAGGATTTGTTTTAGAGAATAAATGTGTTTTTATATATTTTTTCTCTTCTTGTGTATTGTATATGTGACATGTCCCTCTATAGGAAATGATTGAATTCTACTTGGTATAAAGTGGGTTTTTTTCCCCAATAAATGCAAGTTACATAACTTAGAACATTGGCTGGATCAATTTTTCGTAAGGTAAGACATCCTATAGCAGCAGCAGATTTGAGACTCAAGTGTGGTTAGGCTTTTTGAATGAATATCATTTATTACTRTATTTAGATTTCATATTCTAATCCAGTCTCATCTTTGGAGATGGTTGGAGCATAGTAATGTTGCTGAGGACTATTAACTATCTTTTATGGATAATGTCTCATTCTATCCCCAATTTCTATAAGTACCCTTTCTGAGTGTTATTTGCTGCCTATTCTTATATTTTTATTTTAGATCACAGATTCTGCTGGACATATTTTATACTCCAAGGAAGATGCATCCAAGGGGAAGTTTGCTTTTACCACTGAAGATTATGACATGTTTGAAGTATGTTTTGAGAGCAAGGGTAAGTAATCTGAAGATTTTTCTTGAATTGAGCATCTTCTCCAATTCTGTAATGCCCCCTGCTATAGACAGCAGTTCATTTCTAGTTTGAATTTAGTTTTCGTTCCTTCTGATATGGAGATTTGATGTCTTGTGGCCTTTGAAGCATCTTCTGAAAGATTGTCTAGGTGGAGTAGAAGAGTGATGAAGTAAAGCACAGAGAATACCTTGTGAACCAATAACACTTTTCATAGAATTGGGGTGGTGGTGGAGGGGAACAGTCCTAAAATCCACTTGGGGGAGTAAAAGGTCCAGAATAACCAAAGTAATTCTAAGTCAAAAAAGCAATGCGGGAAGGCATCATAATACTTAACTTCAAATTATACTTCCGAGCTATATTAACAAAAGCTGCATCATACTAGCATAAAAACAGAGATATAGACCAATGGAACAGAATAGAAGATACAGATGAACACACACAGGTCATCTGATCCTTGACAAAGGTACCAAAAACGTATGTTGGAGAAAAATCAGACTTTTTTACAGTGTTTAGAAAAATGGTTATCCATTCTTCTATGAATGAGATGAGGTCCTTATCTCACTCTGCACAAAAGTCAACTAAGATAATCAAATACTTAGGAATTATACTTTGCAACCTAGAAGAAAATGTAGGGTTAATCAGCATTAAAAGAGAATAAAATTATGGCATTTACAGGTAAATGGATGGAGTTGGAGAATATTACGCTAAGTGAAGTAAGCCAATCTCCCAAATCTAAAGGCCAAATGTTTTCTCTGATTAGTGGATGCTATCTATGACGGGGGTGGGGGGTGGGGGTGGAGGAACTTTGGATTGGGCAAAGGGGAGGGTTGAGAGAGGTTATAAGGGTAGGAAAGATAGTGGAATGAGATGGACATCATTACCCTAGGTACATGTATGATTGCCCAAATGGCGCATCTCTACACCATATACAAGTAGAGAATTTAAATGTTGCACTCCATTTGTGTATAATGAATTGAAATGCATTCTGCTGTCATGTACAACTAAGTAGAACAAATTAAAAAATTAATTTAAAAAAAAGAAAAGAAAATGTAGGTCAATACCTCAATATATAGGCAAAGGCAGCAACTTCCTCAATAGGCAGGAAATAATACTAAGAATTAATAAATGGATATCATCAAATTAAAAAGCTGCTGCACAGCAAAGGAAACAATTAAAAATGTGAAGAGAGAACCTTCAAAATGGGAGAAAATCTTTGTTAGCTACTCTTCTTAGGATTAATACCCAGAATATACAAGAAAAAACCCTCACATAACCCAATTAATAAATGGGTGGATGAACTAAACAGACACTTCTCAAAAAAGAAGTATAGAAGGCCAACAAATATATGAAAAAAATTTCAACATCTTTAGCAGTTAGGGAAATGCATATCAAAACTACACTGAGATTTTGTCTCATTCTAGTCTGAATGGCAGCCATTAAGAATACGAAAAATAATAGGAGAGCTCGGGTTGTGGCTCAGTGGTGGAGCACTTGCCTTGCACATATGAGGCATTGGGTTTGATCCTCAGCACCACTTAAAAATAAACAAATACAATAAAGGTATTGTGTCCAGCTAAAACTAAAATATATATATATAATTATATATATATATATATATATATATTTTAGAAGAATATAAACAATAATTAATATTGGAAAGCATGTAGAGAAAAGGGGACAATTTCACACTGTTGGTAGAATTGTAAATTAGTACAGATGCTATGGAAATCAATGTGGATGTTCCTTAAAAAACTAGGAATGGAACCACCATGTGACCTAGCTATACCATTTCTTGGGATTTATGCAAAAGAAAATTCATATTGACATACTATAGCAATACATACCCATGTTTATAGCAGTGCAATTAATATTAGCCAAGTTATGGAACTAACCAGGCGTCCGCCAGTTGATGAATGGATAAAGAAAATTTGGTRTGTATACAAAATGGAATTTCATTCAGCCATAAGGAATGAAATTATATCATTTGTAGGAAAATGGATGGAACTTGAGAACATTATTTTCAGCAAAGTCAAGGGTCATATGCTTTCTCTCTTATGTGGAAGGTGGAGAGAAAAAAGGAAAAAAAGGGGATGGCAAATCTCGTGAAGATCAAAGGGAGACCAGTACACCAGAGAAAAGGGACCAAGTGGAGGAGGAGAGATGGAATAGGGAAATAATGGGAAATGATATTGACTAAATTATTATATTGTATGTGTGTGAATATGAAACAATGAATCCCACCATTATGTRTAATTAACAATGCACCAATAAAAACAGGGTAAAAAAGATATAAGCAAAAAAAAAACAAAAAAACTTTGTGTGAAACTTAGTAGTAGATACATGTCATCATACATTGATCCCAGCATCACATTTGGAATGTAAGTCAAAAGGGAACCTAATATAACTGTGGGCTTTGGGTGATAATGATGTATTGTTGAGGTGCATCATTTATAACAGGTTACCACTTTGGCAGGAGATGTGGATAATGAGGAAGGGTATGCACATGTAGGAGTAAGGGGAAATGGGAAGTCTGTCTACCCTCCTTTCAGTTTTGCTCTGAACCTAAAATTGCTCAGACAAAATAAAGTTATAATTAAAAAGGGGGGAGATTATAATTTTCTAGGCAAATTCAGAAAGAGATTTACTGAAAGTGTCTTTTTAGGCCATGATATCAGCTAAGGGAATAAACTGGCTATTCTATGCAAGAGACTATATGGTCTAAAATTAGGCCAGCCAGACATTTGTGGTTTTGTGGTTTCACTTAGACTTGAAAAATGTTAATACTGTGCTGTGACAAACAGGAGATAAACTGAAGATTCTGATAGAACATATCTGATCATTTGAATCATGTCAGGCTAGAAGCTACTTGTGTTTCACAGCTTTCTAAATGAAGACAGAAAGGCAAAAGTTTTGTCTAACATCTTCTGTGGGTGATGTCATAATCTTTATTACATTCAGATTAGGGGAGAAGAGACTACTCTGGGTGCCATGTTTGATTTGCTTGGAGATTGTTGGTTTAATGCTCAGAAATCATCATGACTTGTCTTAATCTTCCTGTATATTTCTCTTGCTTTCAAATTTATCTTTCTAGTCTATCCAAAATAAATTATTTACTGTCTTAAACATGACATACTGATTTCCATTATCTGAGCCTTTGCCCATGCTTTGCCTTCTGTCTAGAATATTTTGCTCGAGTCTTACCTTCAGGTATTCCCTTCTCTTTTCTTTTTTCTTTTTTTGGTACCAGGAGGGATGAACCTAGGGGGGCTTAACCACTGAGTCATAACTCCAGCCCTTTTTTATATTTTACTTAGAGACAAGGTCTCGCTGAGTTGCTGAGGCATTCAATCTGCCTGCCTCAGCCACTCCAGCTGCTGGGATTGTAGGTATGCCCCACTGCATTGGGCCCAGGTACTCCCTTCTCAGCAGGCAGTCCACAGCTCACCTCTTACCTTTCCTTCACAGCAGGGATTATCTGAGCCAGTTGTTTTGGCTCAAAATTTTACAGTGCTTTGCTGTTATATGTATGGATGTCTTAGATCCTCACTGAATTATTTGAAGGCAGAGAGTATACCTTTTGAGAGTCTTTCAGCACAGTTCTAGCTCCAAGTGAGTCCTCAGTGAGTAGTTTTTTGGGGGAGTGGGGGGTACTGGGGATTAAACCCAGAGATGCTCTATCACTTAGTCATATCCCCAGCCTTTAAAAAAAAAAAAAAAAAAACTTTTTATTTTGAAACAGGATCTCACTAAATTGCTGAGTCTGACCTTGAATTTTCAATCCTCATGCCTGCCTCAGGTTCCTGAGTTGCTGCTGGGATTGCAAGCTTGTGCCTCCACTCCTGGCTCAATGAATAATTTTTTAAATTGACTTCAGTCCATTTCAGAAAACTTTCAGTGTCTCTCAAGCAGTAGAGGGTGGAGTACCATCCCCTGTGACTTTTGCCCTTAAAGACCTCAGTTCTTAAGTGGCACTGTTTCCCAAAACCTCTGATTTCATACAGGTGGTTTTAGTTTTATAAATAGATGAAATCCAAGGAATTTGAACCGAATGGTTTCTTGGGGCTCTTTGAGTTGTTCCCTCTCCTCTCTTACTCAGTGATTTAAGGTTAGATTGAGGAGCTAGGGTTTGGTTCAGTGCTAGAGCACTTGCCTAGCACTTGTGAGACACTGGGTTAGATCCTCAGCACTACATAAAAATAAATAAATAAAGGTATTGTGTCCATCTACAACTTAAAAAAAATAAACAAACAAAGAAATAAATAGAAGGTTAGGTTGGGGGGGGCAGTACTAGGGATTGAACCCAGAGGCACGCTGCCACTGGCAGTGTCTTCTCCTAAGTTGCCCAGGCTGGCCTTGAACTTGGGATTCTCTGCCCTAGCCTTTTGAGTAGATAATATTACAGGTATGTGCCATCATAGAATTCCTTTTTGGTCACACTGAAAACAGTTAATTTTTCTAATATAAATATGTTGTTGGCCCTATTATCCCAAYAGAAATTTTCTTTCTAAGAAACATCCCTGAGAATTGTGCTTCCTGTCAAGTTTTTTTTTTTTTTAATTATAACTAACTCCTTTAAGGATTTAGTGGGAATAACCTTATAACATTTTATTCATCTATTAAAACAAGCCTTACATTGATCAGAACATTTGACTTAAAATGGAATATTAGATAAAAACCTATATTCTTTTCAATACTCAGATTTGTGTTAAATAAATTCAAAGTTAGCATGTACTCAGTAATCCTAATTGAGCATGACTTGCTTTCAAAATTTAACAGGCATTCTTTTCAGATGTGGAAATGTGCATTTTCAGCCTAAGTTGGTACTCACTTCCTACTGATCTGTATGCCAGTAAATTTCACAGGGTTGTGATTTTTGAGTTTTATTTTCCAATTGAAAAGCCTATGTGTTTTTTCTTCTCCTATTCTACTCCACTGTAGTACCAGTAGCAGTATCTTGTGTCGTGCCTGCTCAGAGATGTTTGCCAGCAGCATGTTCTCTTTGCTTTCTGGCACCCCACACAGATAGAGGCTTTGTCTGGAATGTTTGTGATTTTAGCCAGAGCCAGGAATTTTTTGCAGCTGAGTAGGGGGAGGAGTTGTGTCTGTTTCCCTCTATTGAGAGGATAGGGATGAGGGAGAGGGAGGTGGGTGGGTGATTTCCCGGAATTTTAAATATTCTGCACAATGATTCTTTTGATTTCTTTCTCAGGGACAGGGCGGATACCTGACCAACTCGTGATCCTAGATATGAAGCATGGAGTGGAGGCGAAAAATTATGAAGAGGTAGGTTCTGCCGCCACAGTCAGAGGAGGCAACATGCTGTGCCGTCAGATTCTGTGTCAGGCCAACAGGCTATGCTTTGTCCAGAAGGCTGCGTTTTTCTCAGCAGTCATGTGACAACCAGCTATGATTTTATTAATACAAAAAGTTGTATTAATGGCCTTAAATAGTAAATCTGGTTGTTCTGTCAACCAAAGGACTGAACCAACCGTCCCTTACAAATGTCGCACTCAAGCATATGCCATTAGACCTCTTGAGGCAGAAACCAGATATATRTAGTAATGATTTTTAAAAGCCAAGCTTCAGTTATGTCTTAATGTCTAAGGTTAAGAAGGGTGATTTGTTTTTAGTTCCTAAGCCCTTTCCCCAGAGCCAACAACTAGGTATCTATCCAGCATGTGAATTTAGTCTTGAACAACTGGGATGTCTTTTAGAAACAACCATAGCCAAAAAAAGTTAAAAAGCTTTTAATTAAAACAAGCTTTAAGAAAGAAAGTGGGAGGGAAGAAAAAACTGCAAGAGATAGTGATAATGAGTAGAAAGGAAATATTATAGAGTAATTAAAACTGACGTGTTTGAATGACAGGGAAGTGGAGTATACATGGGATAAGGAGAAGGGTGACAGGCTTTTTCATCTCTATTTGAGACTTTGGGGGCACCACAAAATGATTCTTCAGATGAAGAGCACTTTTCTTTCTTTTTTTTTTCTTTCTTTCTTTCTTTTTTTTTTTTTTTTTGGTGCCTGGATTTGAACCCAGGGGCGCTTAGCCACTGAGCCACATCCCCAGCCCTTTTTTATATTTTATTTAGAATTATCTTGTTTTATCTTGTTTAGGTCTCGCTAAGTTGCTGAGGCTGGCTTTAAACTCCTGGCTCAGCCTCTCAAGCTGCTGGGATTACAGGCATGCACTACCCCACCCAGCTGAAGAGCACATTTGAGCCAAGGGCAGTGTCATGCCTATAATCCCATTAACTCTGGAGACTGAGGCAGGAGGATTGCAACTCTGCATCTTAGTGAGACCCTGTCTCAAAATAAAAATTTAAAAGGGCTGGGGTGTGGCTCAGTGGTGGAATGCTTCTGGGTTATATCTCCAGTACTGCCAAAAAACAAAAACAAATGCAGAGCACCTTTGAAAAAACCGCAATAACTATTAAGACTGCCTTTACAGAAAGATAAAGAGTTTTCTTTCCCAGGGCCTGAGCAGTCTTTGGGGGCATGAATAAGTGAAGTATAGGACATGTAAATGATTTTTGTAGAATGTAAACTAAATAAGTGAAGAAAATTTGTTTTAAGAGCTTTTTAGAAGAGTTTTCTAGGAGTCATCAAACAAGAGAAGTTTCTTTTGTCTTTGGTCAGAACTTTAGAAGGGAAATATCCTAAAATGGATGAAGATTGGAAGTGAATGGTTATTTCTGCAACAGGAAGTAGTAGTATAACAATAGCAGCTCCCTAGGTCTTTCCTCTTTTTCCTGTTCAAGTGTTTGACACTTGAACAGAAAGAGTTATTTGGAGGCAATAGATAGGAGCAAATGATCCAGCAATGATTGGAAGACAGTTCCCAGTAGAGACTTTGACTTGTTTGTTCTCCAAGCTAGTGTAAGTAAAAGAAATAAGAAGCAAGAGAGCCTCTTTGTTTGAATTTAATAGTAAACTGAGAGCTGGGGTTGTGTCTCAGAGGTTGAGTGCTTGCCTAGCATGTGTAAGGTACTGGGTTCAATCCTCAGCACCACATAAAAATAAAATAAAGGCATGGTGTCCAGCTACAAGTAAAAAAAATAAATGTTTAAACAAAAACAGTGAACTGAAACATCTTTTTAAACTTCTATGATTCAGAAGAGCCTTAATTATATTTACATAAGATAATATATGTTAAAGTGCTGTTGTAAGATATAAAACTCTTAAGAAAAAGTTGTAGGTATTATGCAAGAGTAGATAAAATGATTTTCAGCTTGTGGTTACTACTGCCATTCCCAACCATGGGCTATTCTCCAAGCAACTATATGAATTTCCCTGTTGTAACTTTGTTCTCCAACATGGTGACTATCATTAATGGGTATTTTTTAAGTAACAGAGTACGTGATACCCTATTAGACTTGAGACCTAGTTCCCCCTTGAAAACATTTGACATTATTATATCTTTACAAAAGAATGATGTGGACACCACTGATTTGACATTTTAGAACCCTTTACCTCCTAGAATCCCCATTATCCTTGGGTTTTATTAACTCTGGCAAAGGGGCTATATTTTTTTTATTTATTTATTTTATTTTTTACCTTCTGCTTAGCCCAAGAGGGGAATCCCTAGCAGAAAGGAAATCACATTGCTTCCTTTGCCTGCTTCCTACTTTGGACATTTGGCACATCTTAAGCCTTTCTTTACGCACATGATTACAACACAGCTCTAAGGTTCTGCTTCTTAAACCCCCACTACTCCTCCCCACTATATTCCCTTATGAGCCCTCTGCCTCCCTCCCCCAAATAGTAGACCAGACTGAGGCAGAGGAGGAGAGGCGGGTATAACACAGGTCAAAGACCAGTCCTTTTTTTCAGTGTGTGATTCCATGGAACGTTTGTTAGAAATAGCTGTTAGTAGTTCCTGGACTAATAATGTCTGTAATAAGAATATGGATAATAGAAGCACTTTGTTCCCTGGTTAATTGCCAGAGAGTACTGAGCATATTTAGAGTTCAAGATATTTAATTTTAGGCTCTTCAGATAAGGAGAGCCTTTATGCTCAAAGGATTTTGATCCTTTGGCATTGACTAAGATTCAGAAAGGCAGCACATTTCTTTCTTTCTTTCTTTTTAAGTACTGGAGATTGAACCCAGGGCCTTGTGTGTGATGAGTAAGCACTCTACCACTGAGCTGCATTCCCTAGCCCTTCTTAAATTTTGAGACAGGGTCTTGCTAAGATGTCCAGGCTGGCCTTGGACTTACAGTTCTCCTGCTTCAGCCTTCCAAATTGCTGGGGTTATGGATATAATATATTTTAAAATTTTTCCTCACATTCAACACATCTCTTCCTCATATGTGGACTAATAATTTGAAATCCCACGTGGTCCTGTACAATTCAGTAGTAATTATTGTTTTAATAGCTGGGTGGAGTACTATATTACCTATCTAAAATGTTATGGAGGATTTAGTTAATGCACTTGAAATTGCTGTATAAACACAATACAAATGTGAGATGATATTATTTGGAAGACAGTGCTTGCCATATGGTAAAGAAGCATAAAGTCATGTAGCTTGAAAAAGAAAATGAATTCTTATATCCTCAGAAATAAAACACTTTTGATTCCCTGTGTTGTATTTTAAGAACTTAGGCTGGGTGAAGTGGTGCACTTCTCTTATCTCAGTTACTTCGGAGGCTGAGGCAGGATGATTGCAAATTAAAGGCCAGCTTGGGCAACTTAGTGAGACCCTAAGAATAACAATTAAAAAGGGCTGGGGATGTAGCTCAGTGGTAGAGTGTCTCTGGGTTTGAAACATCCCTAGTACTGCCAAAAAAAAAAAAAAAAGGAAAGGCAAAAAAAAAAAGAACTTCCAGCCACTATCTTGCTTTTTGCCTCCTGGGGCAGGGGAGCATCTTTTAGATTCATTTTGTGAATCAAGCTATTTCTTCTTAGTTTGTACTGTGTAGAGTAGTTGCTTTCAGGGACTTGTTGTCTGTTAAGGGAATAAAGGCAGTTACTGTCCCATAAAGAAGTAACTCTCTGACCCATCCTCTAATTCCTGAGCTGTGTATGTCCCTTCTTGCTGTGGATGTCAGCATTTTCAAAGTTCTGTTTTGTCYAGGGGTTCTGTTAGTCTTTTATTTGCTGTCAACACATATACCAAAACACAGTGCACTGATTGAAGCCATAGCTGAAGACATTCCAAAATTGTTTCTCTGAATGCCTTCAGAGAGGAGAAGCTCTGCTTCCATATACTAGGTCCAGATTCCCTTTCTTGACACAAGTTAATGAAAAAACATGAATAAGGCACCTGATACATAGTTGGTCAGTTAGTAGATTTTAGCCCTTTCTCTTATCTGTATTGGAAGTGCCAAATAGCTATGACAGGATAGTCTTTCTACATTTCTGGACTTTCTTGATTATCTGGACTTATTTTGACACCTTCTTAGCCTTTTGAACTTCTATGAGTAGTAGGCCAACGATTCATGTGCTCCCTACCCCAAAGTATAAGTAGATTTGTCCTTGGATGTCACTCTGTCTGTCATCTTTACATTGACCATTAGACTAGATGGTCTTCACATATTGCTGTACTTTTGGAGTTTGTGGGGCTGCTGTGGGGAGCATAGAGGCAACAAACTGAATTGAATTGAATTTGGCTTGCCATAAGAAGCTTCTCTTGTGGGTATTATTGCTCCACCAAGGAAAAGAATATAAATTCTCTGGAAGCTGGATTCATTCCCTTGTTTTAGGAAGCAGTTTTTTGGAGAGTTAGTTCCTTTCCTTGGTATAGTTACATATAACTCTAAACTCTGTAGATTCAACTCTGTAATCATCATTAGAGTGGCAGATTTGAATATGGTTTAGGAAGAGTTTAATTTAGTGATGTTTGGGAGGTGTTACAAATGCACAGGGAAAGTCTATAATTTTTAGCTTTCCCAGCCCCCCCTACTGCTACATGTGTGTGATAGACATTGTGGTAGGGAGGGCTTTCTCTCAGGGAGTGGGCCTCAGGAATATGAGTGCTGAGTGAAAAGAGGTGTGAAGTGCTCTTCACACACAGGAAGCACTTGCTTGAGTCAGAGGATCATCGCACTTAACTACTAGGTAAAGAGAAGACCACATTAACAGGTGTGGTAGAAGTGTTTACTGTGTTTTGGGTATTTAGCTGTAAATTTTCAGGGGCTAAACTGTGAGGGAAAAAGGTAAAAATGAAAACAAATTTGTGAATATGACAGTGTATGATTGTTAGTCATGTGGCACAATATAAGTGATCTAAGGTTAGAGAAAGTTGGTGTGGACAAGAGTGGTTGAAGGAGTCTGCATGGATA